GTGGAGTGGGTGTTGGATAGCGGCGCGCAGACCAACGTCTCGAGCGACCTTACCTTGTTTACGGAGCTACACGAAGACTCAGTTGCAGAGCTAGTCTTCGGCAACGGCACAACTGAGCGCGCAACTGTGGGCACAGTGCTTATGCAAGTGCTGAACGAGCACACGGGCAAGATCGAGGAGCGCCTCCTTGATGACGTGAGCTACGCCAAGTCGGCTGCCTACAACCTGATCTCGCAGACCTACATGCAATTCAAAGGAAACTTCAAGGTGCGCATCTCGCATGATCAGAAGACTACGTGGCTGGTCAAGGACACATTGAAGCTGCGCTTCCAGTACATCCGCGGGATGTACCGCATGTGGACGCCACGTCAGAGCAAGAACGTGATGAGCGTCAAGGCCAGTGAAGCTGAGAACCCCATGACGTTGCTGCACAACCGCATGGGCCACGTAAACATGGAGACCATCAAGACTATGGCAGGAACCTATAACTTTGGCATCAACATGCAGTCGAAGAATTTTGCTCTCTATGAATGCATTCCATGCTTAGAGTCAAAGACGAAGCGCATGAGCTACAAGCGCAAGCCGTCTCGCTCTGAAAAACCCTTGCACAAGCTTTGTGTCGACCTATGCAGTATTGGAGTGGATACAATATCGAAATCAAACCAGTTTCTATTGATTATCGACGAAGCTACGAGATACAAGTGGGGATATCTATTAGCCTACAAAGACGAAGCCACGGAGCTGATTCAGAAGCAGATTCGCTGGATCCAGAACCAGTTCCCGAAGGCGACCATCAAGACGCTGTTCTCCGATGGTGGTGGCGAGTTCGTCAACATGCAGCTCGAGACCTTCTGCAAGGACCTCGGCATCGACACGCGTTCATCCAATCCCTACAGCCCACAGGAGAACGCTATCGTGGAGCGCACGAACCAGACCGTCATGCGGCAGGTCAGATCTATGTTACAAGCTACGCAAATGCCTGTTTCATTATGGGGAGAAGCCTTCCTACATGCAATTGAGACGCTCAACAAGACGCCGACGCCGGTGTTGAAGGACCAGCAGTCCCCGTACGAGGCCCTGTACGGAGAGCGGCCAGACCTCAGCGTGCTGCGCACGTGGGGGTGCTTGGTGCACGCGCACTCCCTGATGATTCTCGGCAGAGAAAGGAGAAGCTCACTCCAAGGACGCAGATGTGCTTACTACTTGGCTACAGCGAGAAGACCAAGGGCTATAAGCTGCTGAACCTGCGCACAGGATCAGTGACGACGTGCAGAGATGGAAACATGAAGGCACATGAGAAGTACACGGTAAACACTGTGTATATTGAGCAACTTCTTGCAAACACCTACGCTTACGGAGACTACGACTTACCTGCGGAGATCCCGATCGTGCCGATCCGGACGACAATGTCTACGTACCTGCAGCTTCCTGCAGAGCTTGCAGAAAGGCGAGCAGCGGAGATGGCGAAGCTGGCCACTGCTGGTGAGAGCCATGACCAAGGTGTTGAAGTTGAAGCCGAGTCTGCGACTCGAAGTGATGACCCACAGCTACCAAGCGAGGACGCTAAGAAGCCAGCAGCTTCAGTGGGAGGTTCCAAGCGGAAGAACACAAAAGGCAAGAATAAAGCGAAAGCATGTGCAAATCGAGTGGGAGCCTCGAAGGCCAAGGACAGTCGACGTGATGCTCACGAAGACGAGAACTGGGAGCCATGCACGACGCAGAAGTCGTCGCCAGACGACAGTGCAGCTACGTCGCGACCGAAGCGGAAGCGACAACCATCCGCCCGACTCAAGGACTACGTAGTGACGAATGTGACGAAGCAGAACGTCGAGGATGTGCAGATCCCCATTAGTCACAAGCATGCGGCAAGGTCAAAGAAGTGGAAGGAGTGGAAAGCAGCGATGCAAGTTGAGATGGACTCACAGCAGCAGCACGAAACTTGGGTGCTCGTGCGACGCACGGAGGCCAAGGGCAAGCGTGTCATTTCGTGCAAGTGGGTGTACGCGCTCAAGAGAGACTCTACGGGCCGGATTAAGCGATATAAAGCTCGACTAGTGATCAGAGGCTTTCTACAACGCATGGGCATCGACTACAGTGAAACATACGCACCTGTTATCAGATTTGAGACGATCAGATGCGTGATCGTATACGCGCTGCAACGCGGATGGGCCATCTTGCAGTTCGACGTCAAGACCGCGTTCTTGTACGGTGACCTCGACGAGGAGGTCTACATGGAGCAGCCTCCAGGCTTCGGAGAAGACTCTACGCGCTATGTATGCAAGCTACAGAAGAGTTTGTATGGGCTAAAGCAAGCGCTTGCGCTCTGGAACAAGACATTGCACAAGTTCCTGACGAAGATCGGACTCGAGCGCCTCGACTCTGACTACGGACTCTACGCCAGGAAAGTGGGAGGAGAAGTCACCATGTTGCTCACGGTGTACGTCGACGACCTACTGCTCCTCGGCCCTAATGACCTTTGCGCTAAGGTTGCTATGCAACTCAGTGAGGAGTATGAACTCACATCTCTCGGACCAGTCAAGTATCTACTAGGCGTGGAGATACTGATCGACAGCGAGCGTCGACATGCGGTATTTTGCCAGCGGCAACACATTACGGAGGTGCTAAAGCGATTTCACATGGAGGGGTGCAACGCGGTTGCAACACCGGAAGCGCTGCGCGCTGAGGTGGTCACAGATGCGAAAGATGACTCCCCGCCCCCGTACCGAGAGCTCGTTGGTGCACTTCAATATCTGGTCTCAGCCTCAAGGCCGGACATTGCGCACGCTGTGCGTAATCTCAGCAAGTACCTGTCCTGCTTCGACCACACACACTACGCTATGGGAAAGAGGGTGCTACGCTACCTGAGTGGTACTCAAGACCACGGCTTAGTGATGGACATTGTTATTAGGAACGACGTCAAGCTGACGTGTTACACCGATGCTGACTACGCTTAAGGACCCTGCAAGAAAAAAACAAAAAGAGTGTTAAGCGGGTTTCCTGAGCTTCCCTCCAGGGTAAAGGCGTTTTTCCAAGGGATTAGAAAGACCAGAAATTAACGCACAAGACACCACGGAAGCAGAGATAAAATGTCCCAGTAAGTAGAGCCACTCAAAGAACTAACGCGGGTTACGTGGTATTCTGTGAAGAAATTATGTCTGGAGATTCCCCAATTCGGAAATTATCGGCGATAACCAGTCGTGCATCTATTTGACTGCCAAGCCTGGCAAGCACAGCAGAACAGCACATTATGAACAGTTCCACTTGGTGCGCCACCTCGTGGAGAACGAGCAGCTACGGATTCGCCATGTTGGCACCGACGACATGATCGCCGACGCGATGACGAAGCCATTGCCGAAGGACAAGTTCGAACATTGCCGTGATGGGATGAAGGTGCTGCGCATCGACCGTCAGCAAGGCTCAGCTCGTTCAGTTGGAGCCAAACATCATCGCCATGCGTGAATGCAAGCTACTACTACCAGTTCATGCATACGAAGGACAAGAAGGAGGAAGAGCGCTACCAAGGACGAAGCGTCGGGCTGCAGCGCAGCTAGAAGATGCCAAGGACATCGTGGTGAGCTCTACAAGGTGATCATGTTGAAGCTGCGCTTCGACTAGATCAAGTGGGAGTGTGAAGTGTGGAGGAAGAGCCAGGACTGCGTCCAGCTCAAACCTGAGGCTCAGGTGCCTCCAGGACGCGATGCTCGCGTCCAGAAGCCGGACTTCGACGGACCATTGGCTGGCGAGCCGCCAGCCCCATCCTACTGCTAATCCTACCAATATATGTTACCGGGGTTTTTCCGTGTGCTGCTACACACTCGACAACTTGCGCCGTCAAGAGCAAGCAGCAGCACTCGGTTTTCTCCCCTGCTGGACTTTCAGTCCCTGCAACTTACTGTTGTTACGACTACTTCCTTCATCACAATGGTCACCACTCGGCGTAGCCGAGGAGCGACCATCACTCAGTGTCCTTATGTACATTTACGCAGTTGACACTGCTACTGCAGCTAGCATTTTAGGGTTGTCTGTACGAAGTCTGAGTAGATGGTATCGGCGCTACCGCGCAACTGAAAACGTTTTGAAAAACCAGCCACGCGCGAGAAAATCACGGTGGCCGAAGGAAGTTTGCGACTTCGTAAAACGATACGTTTCAAGTCACCCTGCTTTTATTTTGAAGAGCTGCGGGTTGAACTAAGACCTGTCTACAAGAACACGCTAAATCTATCCGACTTAACTATCTACCGAGCGCTACGCTTTGACCTGAACCTGACAAGGAAAGTGCTGACGAAGCGTACCTAAAGAGCGCCAGGAGTATGTGTCCCGGTTAATGCCTTTTTACAGCGGGCCTGATCAGCTATTTTTGTGGATGAAACCTCTAAAGATGGAAGGTAAGTGCTTTTGTCCAATACTTTCCTACAATGGTTAGTAGCAGCTAACTTTTCTATAGATCTGTTCTACGGCGCTACGGATGGTCTGCGTGGAACACGCAGTGTACGGTTTCCATCCCATTCAGTCGTGGCAAGCGTGTCTCCATCCTGGCTGCAATGGACGTTAACGGCTTTTTCGGGTGGAAAGACGTTGATGGAACTTTCACCCGCCTTACCATCCACCACGTCTTCAAGAAAAAGGTTCTTCCGTTTTTAAATCCTTGACCACTCCCACGATCGATTGTGGTAATGGACAACACCAAGATTCACATGTACAAGGAATTAGAAGAACTCATTCTCGCCACGGGGGCTCTGCTATTTTTTTTACCACCGTACACTCCAGATCTAAATCCCATTGAGGTGGGCTTCTCGCTTCTCAAACGATGAATCGAACGCCACACTAACATGGCGTTTCGAGAAGACCCTTTGGCGGTGTTGAAAGTAGCAATGTACAAGCGCACAAGGCAACAAGAAGATGTATTCGAAAACCTATACAGTCATTGTGGTTACAAGTCAAACGAGTTAGTGATAGGCAATAATTAATACCTCAGTTGAATACATCTTACCGTTATTTGATCACTCTTGATCCACGCCTTGCATTTCCTCATCCGCATGGTCATCGTCGTCAAAATTGTTGATTGGGTCAGACGTGTCAATATTTGGCGGTGCCCTGAATGGGAAGCGCAAGCTGTAGCTTGGAAGCCCGAGCGCATCTCGTAAATCCTGAATGTTGACCTCCAGTGGTACAGGAACTCCGTGGAGCTTAATTCGCACGACACGATACTCACTGTTGCTGCGCACTTCCTGCTCGGCCATGGCACGGTCTATTTCGGCTTGCTGAATATCGATATTCTGTAGCTGGCGGAATGCCGTACTGTTTGGCGTCACCAGCGCAGCATCGTTGGAGAGGCGGGCCTGAGCAATAGCCATGTATCGCTGCGAGGCCGGTCCGGCTTCAATCTTCGGCTCTCTAAGATAGGCTGACACACGCGGCATCTGCTCTTGAATACTCGCTGCTGTGGACCGGTGCATTGTTGTCTGAGCTTCTGGTTTGGGGACGTAGACGAACAGCTCCAACTCAAATCCAGCGTGCCCAATGTGTCTTCGACTTGGCCTCTCATGGCTACAGCTTCTTGCCAAACAACCTCGAATTGCTTCTGCTTGGCATGGTTGCTGGGTTTAGCGTATATGTCGCACTCCAACCGCCACTGGCCTGGTAGCTTGCTTGCGAATAGCTCTTCCACCTTTGCCCTCGAAACACAGCATCCATCTGCAACAGCGAGCAAAAAAGGGGGAGAAGGAGGAACTTTGTCTCGGCACGGTTTAAATGGATCTCAATTCTTAATGCTCAGACGGCAGCTGAGTGTATCTGGTAGCGGTAGTAGCTCAGCCATCGCAAGCGTACTGCTCTCTCAGCAACTTCGTATCTCTGCAAGTGGCATACGCATACAGCGTCAGATATTTAATTAATTCCTCTATCTCACGCATACTCTCCCCTACCTCATCTGCCCGCACTTCTTCACGTCCTCATCTGCTGTTCTTCAGCAACTGCCGCTCGTTTTCACCGTGGGCCTTCGCTTTCGCCCTGCTGCTGCAAGTGTCAGCTTAGCATCCCCAACACACCTGAGTACAGCACCCGAAACCCACCAGGATGAGATGAACATTTACCACAGTTCGGCGAGCGCTCAACCGCCGAAAGCGACGCAAGTACTGCTACTTGGCGCGAGTTGACGAGTCGGGGGTGCGGCGTAGCGGGTCAGGGGCGCGAGTGTAGGTGGTGGCGGGCGTGGCGGGCGTGCCGCAGAAGCACAGCCTGCGCGGCTCGACTCTCTTGGCTGCCAAAGCTTGAATGGCTGTACCAACTATTTAAGGTAATTTTTACTGTGCACATCTAAGGATACGGAAGTCTCTTTTAGGCGCACAACCCTTACGTAAGTCCTCTGTAGCAGTGGCAAAAGGTCAGAAAGGCACAATAACATGTGTGAGAAAGGTAAGAGAAGGAGAGACAGGTAATGTAGCAACACAGAAGCTTATTCATTCTGGGATATACGCTCTGCTGAGCAGCCTTCCTCACTACACTATGCGTACTGCAAGTCAACCATTGATGAGACGCCACGCGTCGCGCTGCCTCGAGATTACACGAGTCCATTGTGCGCACTGTGCAGTGCGCAGTAGCAACGTGCTATAAGCAGGGAAGTTCAGTGAGCGTGTTCGTGAAGAGGTACAACAGATAGACCACCAGCAGCTGGAGAAACCACTTAAGGTAGAGCGCTTTGCTCTCCGTTCAACACGGTGGCTTGTCGGCATCTGTCTCTTCAACGTAGACGCTGAGATGGCGAGGCGTTTGGTTAGGGTCGTCACTTGTCTGCTCCAAGTCTTATTTGCCGATATTGCGTTGCTGCATCTTCTTGTGGTACCGTGAAGTGTACTCCCTGAACGCTGTGCTGAAAGAGACCGAGATTCCGTGAGCCGGAAACACTGTTGATCCAGGAGCCTCGTCCGGTTTCCCGCTCGGTATCTGGAAGATGAGGATTATTAATGTCACGAGACCGAGAAGCGCCCTCAGCACGGAAGTTCATTAGCACAACGCTCAGTGTGAAAATGATACTCTCCGTAGACACGTCCAGTTTGGCGCAGTAAATGGACGCGACGACCCGCAGGACGAAGAAAAACACAAGCTCACTGACTCTGCAGTTACGCAGGTGCCAAGTGCCATGTTCACGAGAGGTCCGACGCTATTGAGTTCGATCTAAAGCGCCATGGAGGTGGACGGCGATACGACCACCGAAATCGAGACGAACGTGAGCACATGCCCAGTTGACAGCTGTGCTCCAAGTCGGAGTAGAAGAACGCGCCGGCCTCTAGCATGAAGAGAGGATCAGCACCCCGTGTAGTAGTAGATGGACAGTAGAGTCAGGTACGACTTGATCTGAGGCCGTAGTTCTGGCAGGTAGATCTCCTGGTCGGCCTGGAACGTGTTAAAGCTCAGCGCGAAAGGATTGACGTATGAGCCAAGCATGTCACGACGTCCTCGTTCAACAAGTTGGACAGGAACAGATCCGACATGATGCCGGTTACCAGGTGATCAGCGGTAGATGGAAGTACGTGGGCAAGAACAGTCCGAGCGGATGTTCACCCAATAGCCCGAGCACGAAGGTCAGCAAGTGGCTCAGCGTGTCGGGAGCATTGTTTCACGAGTTAAAAGGAGCCGTCTTGTCATCATCAGGCGCTCAGACGCCAATAAGGAGCCAAGACGCTGGCGTTCACGGCTACGCGCGCTGCAGCCAAAGCGACAGCATGTAGCCATGCGCGACAGAAGCGACTCATCGGAAATTGACTCAATGTCGTGGACGGGCAGCACATTTTACTGCGACTCGGTGGAGAAGCCCAGGCCGGCGGCGTCGGGCTCCTTGGCTTCGGCGCCGCGTCACATCGAAATGTGAAGCAACATGTACAGCTGAACAACCGTCCGATTTGGACGGGGAGCAGCCTATCAAAATGAACGAAAGGTTGCGAAATTGTGCCGGGCACATTTTTGGCGATGGCCAGCTTTGCGAGTAATATGTAGTACCATATTACTATTAAAACTAATATACTACCTCCGCTCGGAAAATAAATCACCTTTCTAAAAAAAATCACAGCGCTCCGCCTCGTCCTTTTTCATGATCATAAAGTTTGCGGAGGGCTGCTGATCCTTACGTAAAACAGGTGCATGCCCAGTGGGTACTGTGCTGCCACCTTAGCTGTGCCAAGCAAGACCGCATTCTAGGAGCTTTGACCTTTGAAATGATAATTGACCCGGGCTCTAACGTTCAGATTGCTCAGCTGCGGGTAGGCTTGTTCCGCCACATCAGTGTAGCTTCAGGCGTTCTTGTTCGCCATTTCAGCAGCAAGTTCGTAAAGACTACTGATTCCGTAAGCCACTGTAGAGACGTTTGCCTCGATCATGCGCTAGACTTGATTCACGACAGCGGACGTCGTTTAGCGACAAGTGTGAAGACTTCGTCGCAGTCATCCGCAGGCCTTGACCGGCATCAGCAAACTGGACATGTTAGATATCCATACCTTCACTATCGCATGCAATAATCGGGGGTCGTTGTAAGGTGTCTAGCAGCTAACGTTGCCTTCAGCAAGCATTCCAGCGCACACCAACATCTGTCACGACGGACACACGATTAGGATCATTACTAGCGAAAGCGATGCCCTTGCTCACTCACCTGTCCTCACGCATTCCACCTTTAGCTGTGGGGGGCCTCCGTTCACCACCGCACGAACACCAGCAGCGTCGATTCTTATGTCCCTGCTGATCTTGCGAAGTGAGCGATGGCAAATGGGCGGGGGATTCAAACAGCCAACAGTTTTGCCGGGAATATATCGCCTTAGGCGGGGTACCGCGGGAATCCGTTTTGCTTCATGGTACACTGCTTAAACACTTTTACAAGGGTATGGAGTTTAAGCAGTCTGTAATCGTTTTGGTAAGGCGATTTATTTTCCGAGCGGAGGTAGTAGTAACTAGTACGTTTGGCCTATAGTATCCAGTAACTCAGGTTACAGCTTCGCCAGTACTGTCGAGTTACTGGTGAGTTAATATCGAGATCCAGACCAATCCTCCATTTGACCACCGCTATGGATCGCAATTTGGATGCAAGACGGCTTGCTCACTGTTTGGCATAATACCGCTCTCGCTTCTCGCCCTCTTTGTCGCACGATTGCGCCATAGGTTGCTTGATACAAGGAATGAGGTCATCTCGAGGCCCTCGGGAAGCTGCTCTAAGGCTAGTTTGGGCTACGGCTGCTATTGTAAGGTTGTAGTGCATCCACTCTGGGAAGTCTAGTTACTCGATCACTTCGCAGGTTTCTTTGCAGACCTAACGCTATCGACGACATTGACGATTGCCACCTCAACTACGATGAAGTGCGCGTTCATCTGTTGAGTCAGTCCCGAGTTGACTCAAACGGATCCGTGCTCTGCCTGTGACAGAGGAGTCCGTCACCTGTGCTCCATTGACCTGCTCTACCCCGGCATAATATATTTGCGGTGAGCTACATTGGAAACACTACCTACTAACTACTTATGTGTAGCAACAGTTTCTGCAATGACTCCGGCGTTACTGAGTAGAAGGCCAAGATCCCGCCGTTTGATGTGATATCCGCCGTGTTCGATCAGCTACAGGCTTTCTACGCTGCGCCCAGATCGCCAAACGCGCCGCACAAGCTTGCCAACCAGCCGACAAGCACCTAGAGCAGGACAGTGAAGCTCTCCTGCAGACAGTCATCGGACGTGACCATGCCGCCCGGAAGCTAAGTCGGCTTCAGAAGAAGGACACCACTGATAGCGACGAGAACCTCGCGTTATCGCTTTCACAGGAGAGAAGAACCGTGTCCATCGATGCTGTTATGGGTGAAGATCATCAATTCTCCGACCCTACCTAATTTTAGTATTGGTATTAATCACCAATCATCCATTTTTATATACTAGGCAACCAATCGTTCGGTCTTGACAAAATGATTTGGCCAATCCAAATGGTAAGGGTTAGGTTAAACGTCGTTTGAGTTGGCTCCGACATATCGGGTCGGAGAGGACTCAGGAAATATGGATACCGGTATGCTCTAGGCATATCACATGCATAACGTCATTTCTCCGACTTCTCCGACCAGTGCAATCATTACCACACACTAATTTTAAATCTTAGACTTATTATTAATATGCTACCATGTAGGAGTACATTTTAGAAGAGGTGGGTACCAGCGCCACAGGGAGCTTGCTCGTCATTAGGAGCAACACATGCAGCATTCCTGCGTGGAGACCCATTATTTTTATATTACGTGAAGCATTTTGTAGCAAGCGTCAATTAAATATACATATATTGCCTTATTAAATCTTGAGCACTCCGGCTCGCACCGTCTGCCGCACCTGTCACCGCTCTGCCGCCATCCTGCCGCACTGCCATCGCTCTGCCCCCGCACTGAGACCGCCCTGCCACTGCCACCGCCCT